CAGCCCCATTTCTCAATTGGTTATTCTTGACTTATGCCTCAAAATACTGTTGGGGTTTTTTGTTTGTTTGTTTGTTTTGGGCTATTTCTGCACATCTATAAGCTCAGATATTAACTTTTGGATCCTAATTAAAACAGGATGCTTGGATGCTGAACCTGGCTCTTCGGAAATCATAGTCATTTATTTATTCGTCTATTCATTCAGTCACTCAAAAGCAAGAGCTGGTTGTCTCTCTTGTCCCGAGCATAGTGCTCATTCAGGGGCTGCACAGAATAACAGGAAAGGCTTCCTGCCTATCTCCTCTGACCCATTAGGGCTTCTGCACTTGAGTTTTAATTTTGACCTTTTGAACTTCTAGTACCCATACTTCCTTTCCAAGGAACTTGACTTCCTCACTAAAGCAGAGCATGTGTATCTGCCAAATCCCTGTACTCAGACTCCAGTCCTGACTCCTCATCCTATTTCTCTCTGAAGCCCAGCACAACAACCTGTTTTGAAGCCCTGTTCGTGTGGTGAAGGTTATATACTGAGCCTTTGGGCCTCAGGAGCCTCTAAGATATTTTTTCTGTAGAATCTCTGTCTGGATTGTTTCCTCCTAGGTCCACCTTCAGCCTGACCACCACTGGGCCATGATAGAGTTCTAGGAGCCTAGTATATTTGAGAGTTCATCTGTGACAACCAATTCTCAGAGTGGCATCTGGTGACAGCAACCTTGGCAGGTTCCCCCCACCCCCAAGCCCAGGTCTGCCCAGTGCAAGTTCTTCTGCCTCACTTGCTGCTTTGCTTTCTGTCAGGGTTGGGGAAAGGAGGGGATGGCTACTGTGTAGCAACGTGCAAAGGGGGACAACGGGCCTTGGGAACTGCCTATACCTAAGGGGCAGTTATATCTAGAGAGTATTGCCAAAAATGTTTAGCCTAGATCTAGTCAAGAGGAGGTCATCAGGCATCCAAACCATGAATGTTCTGTAGAACAACTGGCCCGGACTCTTCAAGAACATCAACGTCATGAAAGATTTTTTTCTTAAAGCAAGGGGGCTGTTCTAGATTAAAGGAAATTAAGGAGACATGAAAACTAAATGCAATGCATAATCCTCGGTTGGATCCTGGAAGGAGAAATAAAGATAACCATAAAGTACATGATAGGAACAATAATGAGTGTATGTATATAGAAATTGAAAGAAAAAAACGTGGTAAAATGCTAAAAAATCGGTAAATCTAAGTGAAAGGTTTATTCATTGAACTGTTTTTCCCAACTGTGCTCTAAGTTTGACATTTTTCTAAATAACATGTTTAGTTGTAGCTCAGTCTCATGGTGGGTGAATAGGTGTTAAGAGGGGGAAAGCAGTGTAAGCAGAATGGCAGGAGTCTGGTGACCATATGGCAGTTCCAGATAGCTTCTGCCTCAGGATCTAGTCCCAGCACAAAGGCAGGCAGCATCCCAAACACTGGGCAGGCAGACTGACCACAAACACAAGGAACCTGCATCTTAGTGCACACCTGGAAGCCTTGGGTCACCCACACCATCTGGACCATGTGTGCAGGCAGCTGGCAAATCCCAGACCCACTAATAAGCCAAGAACTCCCACTGATGCCACGGTGGCCTGCAGAGGCGCAGGACTTACGAAAGGCTGGATGATCAAGACGCCAGATGGATCTGAAGCCAGCAGAATCTGACACGTCTGCCTATTGCGCAAGGAACCCAAAAGCTCAAGTTGGAGGTGTGGGCTCCTCAGGAGGCAGGGACCTAACGGCTCTGTTTTCTCTTAACCGGTTAAATTTTGCTCTGCCAGATTCAGTCACTGATTAAGCTTACAGATGTCAATCTGATTTCCATCTTTTCTGCCTCCTATTCTCTGTAATTCTTTCTGGCTGCCCTTCTTCCTCTCTTGGTTCTATGCCAGTATGATGTGTGGAGAACATTAGATGACCTCTTTACAGTGTCCTAAAATGCCTGACTACAAAGATGAAAAAGAAAATCTGTCAAGGCTAGCTTGGGACTCAGTAGTGTGACACACAATTTCCAAAGGTCATAGAGCTGAGTGCTAAGAACACTGAGCTTCCAAGTTCCCTGGATTTGTCATCCCCTGGCATTTCCATAAGCTTTCTGGCTGATTTCTCCTTTCTGACTCTTTTCTCATCTCAGCTGTGCTGAGCAGAGCTTCCCAAATTCTGGACAGGCCAGCATTTTAGCCCCCGTGTTAGCCAGTATTCTGCCCTATATGTGGGGATATACAGTGTGAGAGTCAGCCAGGGGTCGGTGCAGTGGGGGCAGCCAAGCTGAGCTCTGCTCAGTTTCCACCATGCAGCTCAGTAACAAAGCAACCATGACAAGTGTTGCCAAGACCATATGTTGGGAGCCAGGAGTAGATGAATTCCTGGTGTGAGTAAAGAAAACAGCAACTGAGTTCGCTACAACTGTGATTAATTCAGAATTCAGCTTGGAGATGGCTCCTCCTGAGAAGCCATAACATTTGGAGAAGTGGATTCAGGGCAAACCCCAGTGGTTTCCTATCTCAATCTCTCTTTTTCTCTCTCCAATTACTTTTTGTCTTTTTTATTTAGAATTATTTAATTTACTATTATTATTATTTGCTCTAAGGCATACCAGAGAGAGAAAGAGAGAGAAGGAAAATGAGAAAGCAAGCCAGCAGGTCTGGGATTTGAACCATGGTTAACCATGTGAGAGTCCAGCACCTTAATCACCATGCCACCTACTAGCCCCTCTCTCTTCAATGTTTAAAGTAGCAAATTCCTATGTTCAAGTAGAAAGTTTAGGCAAGAATCGATACACAAGTAAAATCAAAACTCAGCTTGCCTGACTTTTTTGTCGGGACCATGGACCCACGCAGCCCTTCCCAACAGCCCACGATACTTGCAGAGTATTATTAAGGTCCTCACAGAATCTGGGGTTAGGCAACCCTTGTTTCAGTCTATTCTTCTCACTCAGAGAGGGAATATGGCACTTCCCCTGAGCATGCCTTCTCCTGAGCTTCTCATATGAACCCGCCAGAACTGTTTCCATGCTTCAATATGTACCAAGTATGTGATCGCATGAGATCTATTATATTTCTTACTGAAAGGTCCAGAAAACGGCCTTTGATAGAAAAAGGATAACTCACAATATCTTCAAAAAAGAGCAATGGGGGACCAGCAGTTAGCGTAATGGCTATGTCGCTGGACTTCCATGTAGTTGACTGCAGTTCAAGTCCCAGACCCAGTGGCTTAAACTCACGCTGGGCGCATGTGCATGCGTGCCTAGATCCCGAGAGGAGAATGGAGGAGAAGGGATTGCAGCGTGGCCATCCCCCCTGGAGGGTGATTTCTTGCTTTCTATCTCTCTTTCTCTCTCTGTCTGTCTGGCGAGCACATGCACCCCATAGCAAAAACCTCTCCAAAAAAAAAAAAAAAAAGAGCAATGGCCTGAACTTCATGTATTTTTATCCTGTTAGAAATATGCAGCTGTGGTCACATGATTTCATTTTTGTGATCCCAAAAAAGGCAACTTTTCTGGGTCCTTCCCTTTCTTCCTCCATGAGATTGAAAGAACCCCAAGGCATGACTATCCTCACAGGATCCGTTGCATTGGTTTTATGTTGACTCAACATCATGGTACCAATGGAACTTGCTTAAATTTTTTGATTGGTACACACTGTATCATGCTTACTTTTCCTGCCATTGACTGCTAGTTACATTTTCATCTGTAAGTACACACGTCACGGGATAGAAAACTGTGGGAAAGTTCATCTCTAAAGCAATGGAAAGTTCTTAAATGTTAGAATAACACAGCAATCTATGATGGGAAAGGCCACTAAATAGCTTTATTACCTCAGCTATAACAATAACAAAGACTCTTGAAATGGAAAAAAATTTATTTTATAGGGCTGTCATTCATCCCAAAGGGAACAATGTGTTTTTAGTCATTCAACTCAAAATCATTTGGTCATTCCTCAGGTTATTAGGGTTTGTTTTTTTTTTTTCATTTTATTTCATTAATGGTTCGATTTGGCAACTTAAAAAGGAAGGCTGAGGCAAGGTAAAGTAAAGCAAAAGATTTTATTTGGGCCTAGGTTAGGTTAACTGCCTGGGCACCACAAAATTGAAGTTGCTCCAAATAATGTGAGCTGAAGTCTTATGGATTTCAGGATGTTAAAAGTAGAAGTCAGAGGGGGATGGGGGAGCAGGAAGGAGTCTTGGACAGCAGTGACTGCTTAAATTCTATGACAAGGGAAGTAGTATGACCTTACGTTGACCAGTGACACTTGGAGTCACTTCACTGAAGTGAGTGGATGTGACTGACGGAAGATAAAAGAGGAATGTACGTGAACATAAGGGTGTTCTGATGAGTTTAGGTAGCATCTTGAGCTATTTCAGGTGCTATTGCTAAGAAAGCCACAAAACGTGTTTCCTCAGATAGACTGGAATCTTTCATTTTCAGGAAAAATTGGTCTATTTGGGAACCTATCAGCTTCCTTAAAGTTTCAGTGTAATAGAGACCAGGAGGTGGTGTAATAGTCATTGCACTCCCATGTGGTCGACTGCGGTGCGAGTCCCAGAGGCTTAAAACTCATGCCAGACGCATGTCTGTGCCCATCCAAAATTTCAAGAGAATGGAGGAGAAGGGATTGAAGTGTGTGGCCAGCCCCCCTGGGGGGCATGATTTCTCACTTTCCATTTCTCCATCTCTCTCTATCTCTCCAACAGGTACAGATATTTCACCCTATAGCAAAAATATCTCCCTTGAAAAAAGAAAGTTTCAGTGTAATAATGTGACATGTTAGCATAAATGATTATTTTGGTCCAGTTTGGGGCCTAGAGCTAGAACTTGGCCCAAAACAATGATCTCCTGTGGTTTTTATGTAACCGACGTATTTCCCTTGTCCTTACCAGCTAGAATATTGTACACTGTTAATACCCAAACAGTGAGGAACTAGGTGTCTCCTGCTCTTATCCTTACCTGAAGTCCTCATCAGTGTCCCTTCTGGGAGTTCTCAGAAAACATCTCACCCGGGTTCACAAACAAACATCGAGACCACCACGGCCTACCAACACCGTCTTCTTTGCTCAGTCCCTCTTCAGCAATGTCAACTGCCCCGGCCTACACTCCTTACAGCCATGTGCAGGAGTTTCAAGGCTGTCTCCAATGTCTCAACCACCCCTTACCCCTGCCCCCACTCCCGACACCTAGGGGCCTTCTGTATACTAACATGGAGATGAAAATCCTGTGAGTCACAAAGAGAGACAGCTTTTCTTCCTTTTTGTAATATATCTGTATGAGCAGATTACTGAGGCAGGGCTACTGTGCACCCAAGATCTTCGAGTTTTTAATGAAAATTGTGCTTTAAGATTTTACACACAGGTCTTTCTCTTCTGCGATTCAGCCATGAGTGCATGAAGACAAGATTCAGGTTTGGGTGTCCAGTGTATTCAGAACTGTGCCTCTCATCAGAAGCCTTAACAAGCTTTCCTGTTGCAGGCTCTCTTTCCTTAAATAAATTATTTCTCCCAAGCTCATTGGTGCCTCTTAAAAATCAGTTTCCGGCAGCTCAATCAATCAAACAGGCCCAAGCACATCTGAACCACAGTGGGGGATGGCTTAGGCTGCTGCTACATGACTTTCAGCTTCAAAATGACTGCAAGATCTTTTCACCCAGAAAAAAGAATGCTAAAAAAAAAAAAAAAGAAAAAAACTATTGTTAAGTCAATCATTCATTCTAAAGGTAGTAACTTTTTTTAAAACCTTGTCCTCATGATCTCATAAATGTCAAAAGGCAGATTGGTGAGGTTCTTACTGATTGTTTGATTCATACTCTTTAACCACAGGGATATGAAGTGTATCATTCCTAATTCTCCATGTCAGCATTGTTTGTTGAAAATAAATTTACTCACAAAGACCTTTTCTAGCATGTGGGGAAATTGGAACCCTCATAAGTTGCTGATGGGAACGTAAAAAAGTATTTGGAAATCACTTTGGCAGTTCTTCAAAAAGTTAAGCATAGAGTTACCATATGAGCCAGCTAGTTCATCCCTAGGTATACCAAGACAATTGAAAACACATGAGGGGCCTTCAGAAAGTTTATGGAAAAATGGAATTAAAGTATGAGCTTGTTTTAATGCAAAAAAAATTGAAACCCATGTGTAGTTTTTCATAACAATCATTTTCCATGAACTTCTGAAGACTCCTTATATTACACAAAAACTTGTACATGAGTACAGGCCCTGTAGCCAAGTGGTTAAGGAAGTTGGATTCTATATGGCTGACCACAGTTCAAATCTGGCCCCAGCAATGGGCAGGTGTCAGTGTGTGCCCGAAATCCCAATAGGATAGAGAAATACAGAAGGGATTGCTGAATGACCACCCCATTGGGGCGGGGGGTGTGCTTTATCCCTCTGTTTCTGTCTCTTTCTGGCAAACACTGCATCCTCTGGCAATTAAAAAAAAAGTCAAAGAAAAAAAAAATCTTGTACACGAACATTCATAGCAATGGTACACATCGTAGCTGCAAATTAGAAACAAACCTATGTCCATCGACTTTGGGTAAAGAATATAAGCTACATCTTGTAGTGGAATACTTTTCAGCCATATAAAGGAACCAAGTAGTGACACATGCTGCAACTTGGATGACCCTTGAAAACATTAGGCAAAGGGACCAACAGGTGGTGTGGTGATTAAGGCGCTGGACACTCCCACATAGCTGACCACGGTTCAAGACCTGGACCTGGCGGCTTGCTTTCTCACTTTCCCTCTCTCTCTCTCTCTGGTCAAATTAAAATAAATGAATGAATAAGTAAAATTAAATCATTCGTTTTTAAAAAGAAAACATTAGGCAAATGAAAGCCACACACTGTATGATTTATTTATTTGAAATGTTTAGAATAGGCAAATCTGTAGAGACATGAAACAGATGAGAGCCTACTGGTGGCATGATAGTTAAGGCAGCCAGATCTCACAGGGCCTCCTGGACTAGGAGGCTTGAAAATCATGCCGAGCACACGTGTGCGTGTGCCAAAAGTTCCAGAAGGAGAGTAGAGGTAAAGGGATTATGGCATGCCCATCCCCCTTGAGGGGTAATTCCTTATTTTCTCTCTCTCTCAGTCTCTGTCTCTAGCAAGCACACAACCCTTATTGCCCTATAGCAAAAATTTAAAAACAAAAAAGAGAGAAGAAAGAAGGAAAGGAAGGAGGGAAGGAAGAAAGAAAGAAAAGAAAAGAAAACAGTTCAGTGAATATCTTGGGCTAGGAAGAGAAAGGAAAGGGAGTAACTGCTAGTGAATACTGGTTTCTTTCTGAGATGATAAAAATCTCCTGAAATTAGGTAATGATAATGGTTGCACAACCCTGACTACAGTAAGCCCCTGAATTATGCACTATAAGAAGATGATTTTGTGGTATGCAGATTAGATCCTAATTTTTAAAATAGATCTTTTTTTTTTTCTTTTTTTGGAGAGGATTTTTTGCTATAGGGCGCGTGCACTCGCCAGACAGAGAGAGACAGAGAGACAGAAAGCGAAAAATCACCCCCGGGGGGGGATGGCCACGCCGCAATCCCTTCTCCTCCATTCTCCTCTCGGAATCTTGGGCACACACGCACACGCGTCCGGCGTGAGTTTAAGCCACCGGGTCTGGGACACGAACTGCGCTCAACTACGTGGGAGTCCAGTGACATAGCCATTACGCTAACTGCTGGTCCCTAAATAGATAGATCTTTATATTAAGCAGTGAGCACCAAAAAGAGCTTCCTTTTTATAGGAAAAATTAAATTATTGTTTTATCGATCTGCGTTTATAACAAATTGACGCTTTCTTGTAAAAGGCAAACTCTTTCTAAAGCCCAAGTAAAATAATTTTATCAATTATTTTACTCATTCATTTAGAAAATAGTGAGCATGTCTTTTAGCAATATCCGAGTACTACAAAGATCATGGTGGCCAACACAAACATAGGCCCTTCACAGAGAGATACAGGCAGTTTCCATCATTTGGAAGTGTCATGCCCAGAGAAGCACAGAGTTGTGTGGAAGCACATGAGAGGCACACCCAACTCAGATATGAAGGAAATCTTTCTGAATCCCTTCACTCCTGATAGAGATCTGAAATTGAGGCAGAGTCATGTGGACCAAGAGCAGAAAAGCAATCCAGGAAGTGAGAATGGCATGTGCAAAGACCCTGAGGTGAGGGAGGATCTTTTTATCTCACAGCATACTCTGGGAAATGAATACAGCTCAGAAAAGACCCAATCTAAACATTTGGTCAGAACCGAGCACAGACTATTGTATTTAGGAATTCAGAACTTTTGCCAGACTTCCTTCTTGTTCAGACTTTACTGTGTGTGTCAGAATGTTTTCAGTTGCCAGTAATAGGAAGTCTGATTCTCACAGGCTTAGATTAAAGATAACTATCCTTCCTATAAATGGC